AGAAATTGGCCAGGTATGGTGGCATGTGCCTGTAATCCCAGCTACTTGGGGAGGCTGAAGCACAAAAATCACTTGAACCCAGGAGGCAGAGTTTGCAGTGAGCGAGTTATCACCCAACTGCACTCCAGCCTGGGCAACAGAGCAAGACTCCACCTCAAGAAAAAAAAAAAACACCCTCGCCTGGCACATTCCCGTCACCACCAAGGAGAGACCGTTCTTGTCTGTGCTCACTAAGTCGACCATTCACTGACTGCTCAGAGGAAGGGCTGGTCAGTCCAGAACAGCACAATGTCTTCAAACGTTGCCCACCGCTCCCTTCCCACCTCGGCCCCTTCCAGCCCCTTGTTCCCTGTCCACAGACTCCTGAAAGGTCCCTTGGCTCCATCTCCACTCAGCTAGACAGTTCACCTCAACAAGGCAGTGTTGTTAGCAGGCGTGTAAAGCATGGGCTAACCAAATCCAGGCACCTCCTCCCCGACTTCAGGAAGGTCCCCTCAGTAAAGACAGGCCCAGTCCCCCTACTGCAGCGATCTGCTGAGATTTGGCAGAACACTAGAAGTTCTGTGAACGACTCTATTCTTTCTGCTTTCGGTAGGTGTTTCTAGAAATCGGGTATTTATGAAACTGAAGATGTAGGTCTGCTCTCAACAGGCAATGCTGACTCACGGGCAGTCTGGTGGGCTGAAGAAAGCAGTAGTATGGGCTCCGTGTGCTTCTAGAAACTGCTACACAGCTTTTAGAGCAGGCAGGTGTTTTTAATCTCTTTCTGGACAGCTGAAGTCATTGTCTCTCTCCCCACTCAACCACTCTGAGCTAATAAAAGCAGAAGGCCAGGTGCAATGGCTGCGCCTACAGTCCCAACACTTTGAGGCCAAGGTGGGAGGACTGACTGAGCCCAGGAGTACAAGACCAGCCTGGGCAACGTAGTAAGACCCCTATCCCTACAACAAACTGAAAAATTAACCAGGCATGATGGTACATGCCTCTAGTCCCAGCTACTAGGGAGGCTGAGGCAGGAGTTCAAGGATACGATGAGCTATGACTGTGCACTGTACTCCAACCTGGGCAACAGGCAGGATCCTGTCTCGAAAAGTGGAGACAGCATTAAATTCCTGTGACTGTGTCAGAAAAATTTCCAGAGCTCCATCGAAAGGATTAAGTTCTTTTTTTTTTTTTTTTTTTTTTTTTTTTTTTTGAGACAGAGTCTCGCTCTTGTCACCCAGGCTAGAGTGATATCGACTCACTGAAACCTTTACTCCCCAGGTTCAGGCGAATCCCCGCCTCAGCCTCCTGAGTAGCTGGGATTACAGGCACCCGCCACCACACCCAGCTAGTTTTTGTACTTTTACTAGAGATGAGTTTCACCATCTTGGCCAGGCTATTCTCCAACTCCTGACCTCAGGTGACCTGCCTGCCTCAGCCTCCCAATGCCTCAGCCTTCCAAAGTACTAGGATTACAGGTGTGAGCCACCACACCCAGCAGAAAAGAAGAATTAAGTTTTAAAGAGTCAACTGTTGGCTGGGCACAGTGGCCCATGCCTGTAATCCCAGCACCTTGGGAGGCTGAGGTGGCAGATAACTTTAGGTCAGGAGTTCAAGACCAGCCTGGGTAACATGGTGAAACCTGTCTCTACTAAAAATACAAAAAAAATTCACCAGCCAGCTGGGCGCGGTGGCTCATGCCTGTAATCCTACCACTTCGGGAGGCCGAGGTGGGTGGATCACCTGAGGTCAGGAGTTCAAGACCTGCCTGGCCATCATGGTGAAAACCCATCTTTAAAAAAAAAAAAATTCACCGGCCATGGTGGTGCATG